TCATTTCTATTTAATAAATTTATTTTGCGTGGGGTCACATCGAGAGCACAGTTTTGTACCGGTGCGTGGGCCGCCTGTCTATCATTGTCATGTAACGCCGGGTATAACAGTATGCAACAGTGGGTTATAGAAGTTTCAAGAATTACGAACTGTTGACATGGGTATTACGTGTGTTTGAAGAAGGAAAACTATATTGTGACTGAAATAGGGAATAATGGCTTTGTTATAAATAGCTTATATATTTGCAAGTGAATATCTAAGAATGCATACTCCCAAGTTGAAGCATTCAATATATCAAAAGGGATTTTAGAGTGTATGCTCAAACCGTGAAGGCTAAAACGCAAGGATAGATGAAAAAATTTTAAAATGCTATAAGGTCGTGAGAAAAATTAAAATTGCAATTATTATAGTGACATTATTGCAAAGTATATAAAATAACAATTACATGATATATAATATATAGTTTTAGATAATATATACATCAATTAATTTAGATAATCTCTAATTTTTTTAGATAATAACTGTTAAAATTTGATTTTAGAAATGCCAAGATTTTTCAGAGAACTCCAAAAGCTTTTATCTATATTTTTATGTAAATATTTAGATGTACTAGGGGCTTTTTGTAACGGGGTAACTAGTAACATGCGTTTCTCAATAGAATCTTTGACGATATCGAAATATTTCTTGTCTCTATTGGACATGTAAACCTTGTATAATATTTTTATACGCCAGCAGGACTGAACTGTGCAGGTCCGTCATTTTTAACGTGTAATAAAAAATGTATTATCATAGAATATCGATTTTTGTTATTATTATATTATCGACTAATTTAAAATTTTATGTATCTTATTTCATTTCAAATTTATCAGTATTTGATAATGTGTAACAAATTTTTGTTATTGCTAAATTGTATAAATACTTATCTTAATTAATGTAAAAAAATCGCACCTGGGGTTAGTTGAAACAAAACATTTGGCACTAATTGCAACATTATTATTATATATTATTACAGTATTATGTACAGATTCTAATGAAGTAGATTAAATTTCACATATGCTAAATGAGACAAATGAGTTACAGGGGACACTAAATCTTTTATTTGTATTAATTATAGTTTACGTTGACGCTTGTAAATAATTACTTTACGACAATTTCGTACTCTAACAAAGTAATAATATTTATGAAACTAGGTTATATTTTTTGACATTCACTAATAAAAAACAATAGATACAAACTGTCAAAAATAGGATATGGAAAAGTCGCAAATTTTTTTATAGTAAAATATTAAGTAGCAACATAATTATTATATAATATATAATTTATAGTTAATGTCGATATCGTAATATTGCATATTTTGTATATAATTTGAAATTCAATGGTTTGAAATAAATTAAAAACAATTGAATTAAAGTGTCAAAAATCAGATTTTATGGAAAAATCTCAATAATATATATTTATGTTCTGCGTTATTTTAAATTAAAAACACAACAAAAATAGTTACCATACTAAAATATATAGTGTGAATATGCAGTTATAGTATAAATATTATAATTTTGATAATTAATCATCAATTATACGATGGAAAATAATTGATGTACAGAATAGTACAGGGCCTGATCCATATTGGTCCCAGGGATAGTATGAATATCAATTTATAGCCGGTAAATTATATTATTGGTGATTCCAAGTAATTTATTTGACATTCACAAATTTGAAAAAGAAAACAGTAAAATCTATCCCTGTCAAATATCAGATATTTTTGGATAATTTGCATACATGCGATTTCTGGTTTCACGTAAAATTCGCATGTGATAGTCACTATTATATTTGCCACTATTGTAATGATGAACCTGACTAGATCAGTATGTTGACACTGATAGTTATAGAAATATTTTGACTGATTAGTAAACTGATGATTATTAGTAAACATTTTTGACTGACTTATTAATTATAAGAAAAGAAATGATTACCTAGTTCGTTTATTTCTTGTTCAAAAAATATATTTTGTTACATATTATTATGCTAATAATAACCTTTTTTATTATGTTATATGTGGATAAGTATACTAAATAAATGCCAAAAATCTTCAAATGTTTTCAACCCACAAAAATTTAATATATTATGTAAAAATTGTGCGTTATTTCGCAAGAAAATATAATACATAATGCAAATTCATTCAGTATTTATTTAAATGACGAAAATGAATTCATGGAAAATATATTGCCAACTGTAAATCCATCCATATATAGCCGTTAGCATTTGTGCATACTTAAATCTGTCGAAATGCTCGTAATAATAAGTCTTATACCGTGTTCAAAGTTATTTGAATGGTAATATACGAAGAGAGAAAAAGAAGTAGGCCAAGTGAATTCAATTACACAGTGAATTAAAAATATACCGCATCATTCTATTATGTTTGTGCAAATACGAGAACGCGCCTGCCTGCCTGCACGGCGGAATAAAAAAATGAAAGAGTTAAATGAGTTTCAGACCGGTCGACCTAAGGAATTCGCCCTGAAATATTAAAACTATTTACCTAATTAAAATAACCCATTTGAATCATTCTAAGTCTATTTGAACATTATATAATTAATTCTAAGTTTATTCTAATAAAATTAGCAGATTATTAAATATTGAACATTGAAGAGGAGAAAGTTTTTAGCTCTAACAATGAGCTTAAATATTATATTTGAATTGCATTTACTAATTCAAGTAGCAGTACTTCATTTATTTGGTAAAAGTGCACGTAAGACAAATTTTTTATCTATGTCACAACTATATTTAGTTAGATCAGTTTGCTAACGCAATTAAAATAGGGAGTAACTCGGTGAAAATGCAACGAAAATGCGTTACGCCATAAATACTGATTTGTCATTGGTCATCGATGCGACCATTCTAAACGAGTGGATGTAATTGGTCAAGATCGCAAGCTATTCTTGCGATCAACTGTCAACACGACAACCATGTGAATTCCGATACGTCAAGTGTCAGATGCCAATGTCAAATTTAATTAAGAATAATTAAATAATTCTACCAGATGTATCACTACTATTGATGCAACTTTCTCAAAAAATTTAGACAATTTGCTGATTGAATTTATGTTTCTTGTTTCAATAATCTCATACCAGTTATATTATATTTGAAGTAAGATTGTAATTAATTCATAAATTACGATTGAAAATAATAACTGGTTATATTGGGATTGACTGATTATTTTTATACGAAATAGAAATTTATAGATTTTGTAACTATTTCTCTATGGAATCAAGTAAAACTAATTTTATAACTATTGTTCATTATTTCACAATTAATAATTTTTTAGTCAATGTGCGGTGTTACAACTTACCTCGTATTTGGAGCTAGTTGTAATATCTACAGGGGCATGTAGTGACGACAAAAAATGACTATAATCCCTCTGATAATTTAGTCTTTGCTTAATTGGCATGCTTCTAAGTAATATGGAATCAACGTAAACTATAAATAAAACCAGTAAAATGTAGTGTCTCCTGTTACAAAAATTCTTATCATAAATCAACGCAAACTACAATTAATACAAATAATTATATAGTGCCTCCTGTAACGCAATTTACATATGCCCTCATCTTTGAAACTGTACATTGCATCCAATCTTCTTCACTTAAGGGGCACAACTAGTGTAACCGCCTAAAAAAAATGGGATTTTTGGGAATTTATATTAAAAAAACTACTTTATCAATCATTTCAAAATGTTAGGAATATATTTATACATGCTATAAGAATACATAGTAAAATTTTTGAAGAAAAAAATTAAATATTTTTTAAGTTATCGTCGATTTCCAACGGCGTGACAAATAAAAGGCCCTTCACTGCTGCAGTGATTCCGGCCTTCTACGTAGATAAAATTAAAAAAAAAATTTTGTTAAACTAGATACTATTGTCTGTAAAATGAACTACGATAAAGAAAAAAAAATCGAAAATTGACAAAATGATGGCGTTTTTTTAAAAAAAAGTCGAATTTTTAAAATTCCTAAAATTTTGGTCGTTTTTGGGCTGCCAAAATTCGATTTTTGATCCGATCAAAAAATCGATAGTTCGTTTTACGGAGAATTATATATAGAACATGTAAAAAAAAAATTGATAGTGATCGGATCATTTGTTTTTGAGTAATCGCTGCAGCAAATTCGGAAAATGCTGTTTCGAGAAAAACGCGTTTAAAGATTCAATGATCGTTATATACTATATACTATATATATATACTCTTTAAATGGCTGTAACTTAAAAACCATTTAAGATATCGATTCAAAATTTTGGTATGTTATTTTTAAAGGCATAACCTATCGAAATATGGAAAAATTGAAAATTCGATTTTTTGAAAATTTCACACTAGTTGTGCCCCTTAAAAATGTATAGGCTTCACTACATCCCAGACAATACTATTTGTGCATGTTATAAATAGTTTCAAGGTTTTGTTTCTACTAACCTCAGGTGTGATTACGATAGTATAATTTATATTACATTTCATAAATGATGAAGCTGCAAAGTTCTTCTATGACAATATTATGAAGTAACATTTACATATCCAATCGAGACAAAAAATATTTTAATATCGTTTAAGATCATATTGAAAAACTTCTGTTACTACTTACTCTTGTTACAATAAGCTCCTAGCTCCCCCACCTATATGGGCCATGCCGTCCCGTGAATAAAAATTTTATAATTATTTCTTCTAATAAATCCCCGTCACAAACTTTTAACAAATATTATGCAAAGTTATGTAAAGAGATCATATCATGAAATGTGAACACGCATAGTGGACTTGGGTGGATTCTTTACAAAGGGGCTACATATTATTTCATTCGGCTTTGTCGAGTCGCCCATAAAAGTTGTTGCAATATTAGCGATGGCCTCGCATTGGTTGAACGGGCATACGCTAATTGCGATAGGTCGGTGCGCGGAACGGCATTAATGGAAATTAGCAGTCCGCAAAGGTAATTCCACTCTCACACACGGCCAGAACTACAATGACGAAAATAGATATCATGCCTAAACTACTTAATGCAATGGAAACTGGAATAATACACCATGAAATTGAATTAAACTCACGATCGAGCTCTATTGGTTATTCATTCATTGGTTATGTATTGATAACTTCATCGCGTATCGGAATTTATATCTGTAAGAACATATGACAAACATCGCCTGATGTATTAGGTGTGCTGAGAAGTTCTGTCCGAATCTATGACATCATTTACGCCAAAATTTACTTTTTTTTTTTAAATTTTATTTGGCCTCGCTTACTCTGAGCATTTAGCCACCTACAACATTTTTTATTTATTTACATTCTACTTTTTATATCATTTTCAATCTATATATATATATTCTATTCTATATTCTTCTTTTCGGCTTCTTATTTTCTTCAATTCTTGCTCTTTTTCAAATTTCTAATTCCATTTAACTTCTAGCTTCATTCCATTTTTTTTCTTCATTCTTCTTTTAATTTCAGCTCAGTTCCAATATTTCTCTTCTTACTCCTAATACAATTCAGCTATTCGAACTCTGTTATTCCTATTTTTCTTAATTTTTATTCAAATTCTACTTAACAACACAATTTTTATTTGATTTCAAATTAACTATACCTATTTTTTTTTGTCCTATATTCTAAGTCAATGACAGGATTTGATCCAAAGATCCCTGTCGTGTGAATCGAGCACGCTACCAAAGAGCTATGCTCGCCACATTTTGAATGTTTATTGAATTAAAACTTCTTTAGGCTCGACTAGAGTATAACTCAGAGAAAATGCAACGGAAATGCGTTACGCCAAATACTAATTTGTCATTGGCCAACGACGTCATCATTCAAAACGAGTTAATGCTATGGTTCCGCTTGTCACGTGTATGAATCGTGTTGTATGGCAACCATGTAAATTACGAAATGCCAAATGTCAACCCAACTTCTATCATTTAAGGTTATGTCTTCGAAATTTATGTTTAATGAAAATAAAAATCGTAATACTGCGCCACTCGTCAATAATTCTATAGCATCTATAAATGTTGTGCTGTTCACAAATAAGAACAGTAATGTGTTATAAACGCTATATTATATTAATTAATTTCAATCGCAATATATAGTAATATATTATAAACTATATTAATATAACGCTATATTATATTAATTAATTTCAATCGCAAATATTTTTATTGAGAGTGTTTGGTGAAGGTACGCTATTTGATAGAATTTGTACAAGCTGGAATAAAAAATTTGAAATAAGTGATTTTGAGTTTTTTATTCCGAGCGAGCATCTTCAATCGACGACAAGAGTAATATTAATGCAAGATCCTTTTCTAACAATATCGTGGATCCCAGAAAGGCTTAGTTTAGCTCAACAAACCATTTCAGACCATAGTTAAAAGATAGGATTTGCGTGGAAGTATTCAATTTACGTGTTACAGGAATAGTGAAAAAAAATTGGATGATCTAGTTGTCATATGCACAATTTTTGCTTAGTCGGAACAAAATCCAGTCATTTTTGAGTTATAACTGGGAATGAAAAGTGGATTCTATACAAACCTTAATCAGATTTTTTGATCTTACAAAAAATTTTGACGGGCAAAAAAATCAAAGATGAAGAAGATATCTAATAAGAAGTGGTTAAATTTTTTGCATCTATAGATCAAACGTTACTCAAAAAATGTGATTAAAAATTACTCTCACGCTGGCAAGAGATTATTAGTAATAATGGCAATTATTTTATTTAATAGAGTTAATTGGCGAAAGAAAAAAAGTAATTTGCTTTATTCCACAAACGGACAAAACTTTCCGGCAGGCCTACATAAGCTCGGTTTTTTATTTCAAGTATCATTGACGTCTGCTGTCACTTCCAAATACAATTCAAAAATACTTATTTAACAATAGATTTGTTGGGCATTGTAAGACGACGCAAAATATCTCAGGTCACGCTTAAAGTCTACTAAATTGACTTTCAGAGAATCTCTTAGTTTGAGATTTTTTTACAAGACATACTTTATTATTAAATATAATACGTAAATCGCTCCGCAACTTTATTAATATTAGAAGCGTCATATATTTTCTGTCTCTACTTCAATTTATGTCTTTGATTTCTTACTATATAATAATTGTACAATGGGATATAATTTTAAGTTTTACTTCATATGTTCCTGTATTATTTAATTTTTGGCAAATTATATTAAAAATGTGTTAAACTACGTCGAACAAAATAATTGATGAATATTTATATTAACATTATCTTATTAGTTTTGTGTTTTCCTACCAGCATGCTGTACTGTTTTGTGCATGCTACAGTATGCGTAGCATATGTTTAACTTAATTTTGATTGATTTTATAAAATTAAATTTAATTTTTGAATGAGGTACAATATTTACTAACATAAGTTAATGAATTTGCACGCGTTTAGGAAGCTAAATTAATTCAATTTATAGGCAAATAATCAATAAAAGATAATTTGCTCATAAACCACCATACATAACATTCTATAGCCTGTCAATATGGTCTATTATATTTATCGACGCAAAAGATATTACACGATAATCAATAACGTAAATAATTAAGCATCACGTCTTTTATTATATACAATATAACTCGTGTGATTTTATTGTTTGCATCTGTATGTTGCTTTATTGTTATTAATTTTAGTCAGTTCCCTTATTGTGTGCCCCGAAGGCATCAACAGGCTAGGACGAATTGTCTCAAGGCAAATGAATAACCGTAGCACCCGGAAATGACATAGGACGGGGCGTTGCTCTACAAGCTTATTAATAAGTCGCAGAACAAAGGCTTGTGCCTGTTGTAGTCGATTTGTTTTTTTCTTATGAAGGTGTTAAATATTTTTTCCGGGACAACGTCTGGCAAGCAGCCAAAAAGGTCGTCATGAAATCCTCTGGCTTTGTCTTCTTATGTAGATGGTATAATGCTAATGTGTGACATATCGCACACCAGCAAGTAAAGTGACAGAACAAAGTAAAATTATGCAGCAGAGCAAAAATAATAAAAACTAGAATTTTGATTGAAATGCAGTTTTTTTTTAAATTAAAACTATTTTTTTTTTCTTTTTATTTATTGGCTTTTGATATCATAAGGCCAGATGCCATTATGCGGTAGTATTTTATATTGTGTTTTGGATTTAAAATTTGAAACTCATACCTCATAGTATAGGTAAAGAAAGATTCAGTCGTTCCTTTTTACCCTATCCACGTAAGCTTTAATAGATATAAAAAACTGTTGAATCCATCTCAAAATTAACAATACACATAAAACAATTTAATAACGCATACTTAAAAATTATGTTAAGGTCTCGTAAACTAAACAACAGTGCACACAACGAAGAAGACTAACAATTAAAGAAAATACTTTTGTTATGGATTGGAGCGAAATTGTAAGAATATAGTTGATGGTTGCAGTTATACATCTTCTCCTTCTATTTTTAAATATTGTTCTTTAAATATCCTTAGCATCACTTGTTTTTGAGATACCGGTTGTGGATCTTTTTACCCGCGGCCCTTTGAGGCCTGCTCCACGTTATAATATATATATATATATATATATATATATATATATATTATTTGATTATTTAACAGCATATCGATGACAAAAATTGTTCATCGTTCAGCTAGAAGGTTTGCAAAAATTTACCAAAATAAAAGAGGCGCATTGGCTGTTAAATAATAGAATAGTATGTTTCAACGACGAACAAAAAGTATATACTGCAAAAATGTTTATTTCGACACATGCCAGACTGAAACACGACTGTGCTCGATGAAAAATAAAAATAAGTGTATCTAAAATATTTATAATAATGATCGTGATAATATAGTACAAAAATTTCTTAGACATGAGTTTATCTTTAAATTCTTTGTTTCTATAGCAATTTTCGCAACATCAACTACGATGTTAGACTCACAATTTATTTTAAATTTTATTTTATGTATTTAAAATTTAATATTTTTTAACTTGAAAGATTAATCATGCTCATAAGGTCCTGGTAACTAGATGCTCGTTATGAAGAATCAAGAAGCAGCATGTGTTTAAATTGAGTAGCTTGTTAAAAGTTCATAAATGCATATATAATATATGGTTTGTGCACATTTAAATATATTGATATATGTTCATTATTTACACGTACAGGGTGCCCCAGAACTTAACGTCAGCCGAAACAGGGTGATACTATTAACCCTAAATGTCCTGAAAAAAATTACAAAAAAAATAACTCGCGCTGATTGGAAATTCTCAGCTTTGGTGAACTTATGCCATTTTTTCGGATATTGTGGTTAATTTTTACTAACTTTGTTCATTTAAATTTTGGAACCGTGACCGCGAATAATATTTTTAGGACCACAGTAAAAAATATTACATAATTGCTCCAAGTTTTCAGGAATTAAAACTTTATGTTAAACTAAGAAATTAAAATTTTTAAAATCGGTCGAAAAAAAGTACTAGAGTGTTTTGAAAATTTTATCAGAAATTGGCGCATTTCATCAGGATTGTAAAATAGTAAAATACTTGCTGATTTCATCATTGAATAATTTTGAGTAACAATAAAAATGACAATATTAATTTTTTTAACAATTTGAGTAAAACCCTACCGGGATGTTACATTACGATGGGGCGTGCAAGAACATTTGTCACTGTTCCTTTGAAAGAAAGACAGCGCGAGAGCAGCCCTCACTTCTAACGTATAAAAGATATTGTTTAACGTTATTAACAGCTTCGGGCGTTACAGCATAAGAATACAGAACGAAGGACCGTTGTTAAAGTCGTTTTTGTTGAGATAAAACGATCTTTTCGTTTATATATATAACGGTTTTCAAGCCCGCGGTGGGAATTTAAATTCATACACGACTTACTACGAGAAATATTAACTTTTTGCGGTTAATGCCGTTAATGTATTTTCTTTATAACTAACATTACTTTTAGATAGAATTTACTAAAGGAAATTACTATTTTATACAAGGTGTGGATGTATATGTATTATGTTTCACGAGTCGAAAGAATTTTAATATAAAACCAGTTATTAACTTTTTGTAGAGTAAGTTATTGCAATCGTTTAAAATCGAAATTAAAATTTTTACATTTCTTCACGTTTTGCAGGTTTCTGAACATTTT